GCATGAAAGAGAGGACCAGGGGCTTTTTCCAGGGAGCGGGCAAGCAACAGGCCCTCTTTCCACCAAAAATCGAATCGACGGAAGCGCCTGACCCATAAGTTACAGAACCTGCACAGGCAAGCAGCGGCGGGCTGGGACATAAGGGAGGCCATGAGGGAGGTGAAGGCCCACCTCAGTGCCTGGTACCGGAAGGAGGCCAGGGAAAAGATCACCCAGGCAAGGGCCTGGGTGGAGGAGGGGAAGGAGCGATCTGCTTACTTCTCCAGGCTGAAGAAAAGCAAGGAGAAGGTCATGACGTGCCTGAGGGACAGAGAAGGAACAGAGCACCAGTTGAAGAACAGCATGCTGGTTACAGCAGCCACCTTCTACTAGGAGCTCTACGTAGAGAAGCTGGTGGACCCGGAGGCCATGCAGCCGTGCCTGCGAAGCCTCACCTAGACCCTCGGGAAGGATGAGCAGCAGCCCTCAACAGGACCCTCTGGAGTTTCAAGAACAGCAAGACTCCTGGGTTGGATGGCCTGCCCAAGGAGTTTTACCTGACCTCGTAGGATCTGGTGGGCCCCGACCTGCTGAAGCTCTTCCAAAAATGCCTGCAGGAGGGCCGACTGGGAGTGGGGATGAAGGGGGGCCTCATGCCCATCCTGTACAAGAAAGGTCTGAGGGAGAAGTTGAAGAGCTGGAGGCCAATCACCCCCCTGAACTTCAACTACAAGCTGCTGCCCAAAGTTTTGGCTGAGCAATTTAAATCTGTCCTAGGTGCAGTCATCCACAAGGACCAGTCATATGGGGTGCCAGGACACCAGATCCAAGGAGCCCTGGTGCAACTGAGATGCATGCTCCAGCTGGAGAGGGAGAGAGGGCGGAGCATCGCTGTCCTAAACTGGGACCTGGAGAAGGCCTATGATATAGAGTGCCCCACCAGTTCCTGTTCCAGATGGTAGAGTGGATGGGAGTCCCCCTGACCTTCATCGGCTGGATCAGGACCCTCTAAATGGAAGTGAGCAGAGAAGCGTAGATCAACATTTTCCCAAGCGCCTGGATCACAGCGGAGTCAGGGGTCCGGCACAGCTGCCCGTTCTCCCCGATCCCGTTCATCTGCGCCATCAAGCCCCTGGCCCAGCACCCGAGGCAGGACCCAGGGATCCGCGGAGTCCACATTCCAGGTAGCAGCAACCGAGAGGCCAAGGTCTTGGCCTACATGGACAGCTTGATCATCCTGTGCTGGAACAAGTGGGTGGTAGAGAGAGCCCTGGGGCACACACAGGTATACAAGGTGGTAGCGGTGGCCCAGCTCAGTGTGAATTAGAGCACCTGCTTTACTGTGGGTGAACTCAGGGACCTGGAGTCCCTGGGGGTCTCTGTCCCCCGCGAAGGGGTCAGAATCCTCAGATAGAGTTTGACCCCGAGCTCAGTGGCAGAACAGCATGGGGGAAGACTGAGGCAAAGATAAAGCAGAGACTGAGCCTGTGGCACATGCACTCCCTTTCCATTGGGGGGGACGGGGGGACGGGGGGACGGACGGACACGACACAGGACAAGAGGTTCAGGGGCAGGGGCATGCCAGACATCCTCCTGTTCCTGTGGGCCAAGTATACGAGCCAGATCTGCAAGCTAGCAACAGGCACAGAATCCAACACCACTTGCCTGGTGAGATTTTGCAGGGCACACCCTGAGACACTGGGGGGGTGTTCACCCCGACCAACCACAGACTGTGGATCATGGGCTCACTGTCGTTCTATGAGATCCTAAACCAGTGCCACAGCTTGCATGGCCTGCAGAGCACAGGCCCCGCAACCATATGAAGATCCAGGAGACAGCAAGGCTGTGGGACATCTCATCGCCCAGGGACCTGCTCCCAGGCAACGCATGCCAGGCCATGTGGGAGCGCATCGACCACAAGAACTTGCACAAAGATCACAAGGACCTGAACTGGCATAGAGAGGGTCAGCTGGGGAGACCCACCTGCCACGGAGCCACCGAGATGATCGACCACCTCCTTTGACTCTGCACCTGCACCAAGGAGGTATGGAAGAGGGTGAAGCAGCTCTGCAAAGTGGTGACCAGCATCAACCGGCTAACCGGAGAAGCAGCACTGTATGGGGAATGTGTCAGCCCATTTCGACCAGCTGGCATCCTGCATTAGGAGCGCCCTGTGGAAGGCCAGGAACCTCCTGTTGTACAGGCACACGGATGTAGAGTTAGTAGGCTGTGTGAAAATGGCTCCGAGCAATCTGTGGACTTACTACCAGAAATCGGTAGTGGAGAATTCTCATTAAAAATTTAGGCGACTGTGGTGTCAATGCCTATACAGTCAGATGGGTTCTGGCGGGCCACTCCCAGAGTGGTGGTGGATGGGTCATTTTTGACCTGGAGGGATATGGACAGTGGGGTTCCCCAAGGCTCAGTCCTCGGGCCCACACTGTTCAACATCTTCATCAGCGACTTGGATGAGGGGGTGGAAAGCACCTTGTTCAAATTTGCGGATGACACTAAGATGTGGGGAGAAGTGGGCATGCTAGAGGAGAGGGACAGGCTACAACTAGATCTGGACAGGTTACAGAGGTGGGCGGATGAGAATAGGATGGGTTTCAATACTGACAAATGCAAGGTATTACACCTGGGGAGGGAGAACAAGCAGCATACCTACAGGCTGGGAAACTCCCTTCTCGTCAGCACAGAGGCAGAAAAGAATCTTGGAGTCATTATTGATTCCAAGATCAACATGGGCCGCTAATGCGGGGACACGGTCAGGAAGGCTAACCGCACCTCGTCATGCATCCACAGATGCATCACGAGCAGGGCCAAGGAGGTGATCCTCCCCCTCTATGCAACACTGGTCAGGCCGCAGTTGGAGTACTGCATCCAGTTGTGGGCGCTGCACTTCAGGAGGGATGTGGCCAGCATTGAGAGGGTCCAGAGGAGGGCCACTCGCATGATCAGGGGGCAACAGGGCAGGCCCTATGAAGAGAGGCTATGGGACCTGAACCTGTTCAGCCTCCACAAAGAAGGCTGAGAGGGGATCTGGTGGCTATCTGTGAACTTGCCAAGGGGGACCAGCAGGCAGTGGGAGAGTCCCTGTTCCCCCATGCACTACCGGGAGTAACAAGGAATAACGGCCATAAGTTGACTGAGAGTAGATTCAGGCTAGACATCAGGAAGCACTACTTCACAGTCAGGGCAGCTAAGAGCTGGAACCAACTTCCAAGGGAAGTGGTGCTCACTCCTACCCTGGGGGTGTTCAAAAGGAAGCTAGACAAATCACCTAACCAGGGTCGTTTGACCCCCAGCATTCTTTCCTGGCCATGGCAGGGGGTCAGACTTGATGATCTGCTCAGGTCCCTTCCGACCCTACCAACTATGAAACTAGGATGGAGAGGACACGGCCAAAGCCATCTGGCACAGAAACACATGGCACAGGATCTTCCAACTTCCCACTAGTGGGGAAGGGGGCGGTGATAGCGAGGAAGAGGAAGAAACCAATGGAACTGAGGACAGCGACAGCAGCAGCGGGTCCTCCAGTGGGAGTTGGAGTGACAGCAATACGGACGAGGAGTCAACTGAGACTGTGACCCTGCAAGTGGGGTGGGGATGGAGGAAAGAAGTGCCTGGTCTGAGAGACCAGAGTTTGTGTGTGTATATAGCATGCAGCATGGATACTGTAACAGGTCTGGTTGGCCAGTGGGCCTTCGTATGGGTGCACAGGTACGTTTTTTTGTAACGAGTTATGGGGGGGGGGGGGGGGGGGGGGGGGGGAGACCCTGCCAAAATGCTGCTTAAAAGCATTTATGGAGTACCTGTGCTAAAACTTGCAGCATTTAAAAAAAAAAAAAAAAAAGTAGAATGCATCAATTCTGGATTAACTAAATCTATGCAAATGACAACAAGTATGTTTATTTCAAGGTCAGTGTTTTCAAGTTTGCTCCTCACTTCCATGTGCTCAGAGAGCAGGATCTGATAGTAAGAAAGGAGGAAAGAACTGCAGGGGGAAGAAGTTGGGAGGAGGCAGAGGGCAAAGCAGCTACCTGATTTATTTTCCCTGCTGTAGCAGTGGAAAGGGGACAAATTCAAAGCAAACCTCCAATAATTAGATTCCATGCCTGGAAAACTGTAACAGATTTATACATTTCCCATATATAGAATCTAATTATTCAGGGGCTGTCTTATATGTAAGTAAATATAGTATTTAAAAAATGAGAAGGGAATAATACGAGTGCTGTCATTACTCCTGTAAAGACTTATGTGCTTACTTAACTCTGCACAAGTACTATTTCTCAAGTATTTCACTGCTAGTATTTGCACGAGTTTTGTCTAAAGTATGAGAAGAGAGAAAAACAAAGAAAAGGGATTAATTGTTTCTATTTTGCTCTTAACACAAAAATATGTTGAAGTTCAAATCAGGAATTATGGGTAATTCCTGTCACATTTTCACAGGATGTTAACTGGGCGATCATAATGGTTCATTCTGATATTAACCCACAAGCTCTTTGAATTCAATGGGAAGACTAATTGTTCCTACTTTATCAAACTGTCAACATAGATGCATGATTTCAAAACCAATTTTTTCAGAACCATAAGACCAATTTCTAAATAGGATTTCTCATGATTGTTAACCCAGGGCAGTAAGTTACCCTGTAATCAAGTCCTACATACACAAACTCTTCAGGGTGGGTGGGGTATGTTTAAAGCATTTCTAAACTACATAGTATATTTACCAATTAATGTAACAACAAGATTCACTAAAGCAAATGGCCTATTTCAACAAAAACATTTTCTACAATCAATCAATCGGTGTTCTATTAATAAGAAACAGTTACTATGTAATGTAGGCTTTGGAAACAAGGATATCAAAATCTGTCATTTTCAAATAGGTTTTAAAATTACATAATAATTTGTATGAGGCTGGGGAAAAAAGGTTAAAGACATCATGGGAAACAAAATAAGCTATGGCTCAGTTTACTCTGAAAGGTATAAAATTTTGCTATTCATACACAATGTCCTACCTTATCTTTGTTTAAAGAAGTCAGTTCTCCAAAGAAGGAAGAGGGGGATGAATACAGCAGTTCTTCAATCTGGAATGCATTTGCCAAGCCTTCAAGTATTTCCCAGTTCTGTGAAAGATGAAAACCAATAATCTATGATAAACAAAAGCAACAGAAGAAATGTTTTTGTAGAGTGAACACCACACTTCAGGAAAAGAGTGTCATGCAAACTGTTGAACTTACCAGCTAAAATAGTGCTAACACCAATTGGATAAAAAATTACCCAAACCCCTCACAAGAAGATAACATGTAACAAGGGAGAAAGGGAGAGTAGGGTTGGGGTGATGTTGTACAAGAACTTTTAAATAGTATATTTTTAAAGGGATTACATTCAATTTTTTTTTTCTTCACATAGACCAATATTCATTTGGGTCTGTTCAAGGAATTAAAAAGATGATTATCCAAATGTAACACAGGCCCAAGTGCACAAAAAACGTAAATGTTTTGCTACTCACTCTTCTCTCCCCTGCCCCCCCTAATTATTGTTTACATTTATCTATTTAAAAATTTTCAGAATGTGGTTCTCTCTTGTGGGCATACTCACATCTATCAATTGTCATTAAGAACCATAACACATTCTAAAACCTGTACGGTTAAAATAGTCTGCCCCCAAAACTTGAAATCTGATCTACAGAAAAGAACTCATGACTATACAGAGCCTTATTAAAAATCAAAGGGATTCTGTAAAAGGACAGGATTTGCACTGATCTGATTGGAAGATTAGGCCAAACCAGTTAGGGCCTCTCATTTATCTGTATTATACAGCAACTGCTAATATAATTAAAATACTTGCAGTTTTCTAGAATTAAGTAAAAGTATTTTTAAAGTATGTGAATTGCTGTAATGTAAATATTTATTCATAAGATACAAAATTTCACACACAAATCAGTACTGAGAATGATTTACATACAGCAAACAGTGTAACTGTCTTTAAAAACAAGCAAAAATCCATCTTATCAACTTATGGCCAAGGAAGACTCCTTCCACCTGTGTTCAAAATCATTTTAGATTGGAAGCTTTTACTGAGATCTCAAAAATGAGCAAGAGCTCTCTTCCAACACTGCAAAGACTAAAAAAAAGAATAGGTCAGCTAAGCATAAAGAGCAAACAGGACCATTTATTTAGAGAATCAAAAGAACAAAGCACGCAGAAATATGCTTTAAACATTTCTGTACACTGCAGTGACCAGAAGCTTATGAGAGCTGGTGGCAGGGCTCCAATGTGACAACCAACATGTGCACTTTCAAATGCTACACTGAGCACTAAATGCTAGTATGTTAAGTAATAACATATTCTAGATCAGTGGTTTTCAACCTTTTTTCATTTGCAGACCTCTAAAAAATTTCAAATGGAGGTACAGACCTCTTTGAATTGTAAGTGTGGGTATTCACATACTTCTGATTGATCAAAGCCATCTTTCTTGGACCCCCTTAGACAGTCTGCGGACACCCCGGGGTTCATGGACCAGAGATTGAAAACCACTGTTCTACACAGAAAGATTCAGATTAAATCAGCAATGAGTACTCAAAGCAAGATGATCAATGGTGAAATATGGAGAATCAAATGGCTATCAAGAGCAGGATATATGAGATGTGTTGTTAGCACAGTTAGGTTTATAGTGGAAATACAGTAGAAAGGACAGCACTACAGATGCAGTGAAACTGATAAATTTGAACATTCAGCTACTCATGTCAAAATTTAAATTTGACATATATAGAAAGAAAATATGTTAAATTGTTGAAAGGTGGTAATAAAAAAAGATTAATGCAGAAATTCATAGAGAAGACTCCCAAAAGCACAATAATCAATACATTTCAGGCTTTAAATTCTGACCCCTGGATGGTGAAATAAGTTACACAGCAACCAAATGGTCAATGGAACACTGTAGCTGAAAGACTGCAAAGAAGAGCATGTGTAAATTATTGTTCAGTCTGTAAACAATCTTTGGCCTATAAACACCCCACAGAAATAACAATCACCCACAGCATTATTACTGAAGTGCATTGTTTAAGTACTGCCTTTCAGTAACTTATGAAACAACCTTTTGAGTTTCGTTCAGCACTTTACATAGAAATGGTTTGTGAATGTACTTCCACTGGGTTTTAAAACTGTACAGTGGATAATGCATCCATTCTTGGCATGGAACAGATGGTATTTTTAGTTAAAACTGATAAAAGCAAAAAGTTACTAGATTTCTCTGTCTGGGGTATTTTTGGTTTTGTTTTGAGGCACACACCAAAAACAAGTACTGAAAGGTCATCAGCAAGCAAACTAGTTTTATTTCTTAAAAATAAATTTTGGACAACAACAATCTTTTAAAAATTAGGGGGAAAAAAGCAAATGGTGCGAGAACACAAACAGAGATTTATATTCTTATTTAAACTGCTTGGTCTGGTATTCATTTGGTTTTGTGCCAGATGTGTGTTAGATATGCTTTTTTTAATTCAAAAGCTAAATTTGATTAAGTTAAAAGAAAATATCAGCTCCCCAAATAAAAAGAGAAAGAAAATACTACAATAAGTGTGTGTGTGGGGGGGTAATCTTAGCCTGCTCTACTGTATGATCTACTCATTTTTCACTTACTAAAACTTCTATATGCTACTTCACATGCTTTATTGCATCAATAACTTGGTTGTCTTGACACTTTTAGGGCATAACTGACAAGGTGTGTATGTTAACAAAGATCAAGATTGTTACCACAGATACAGAGTAATAACCAGGACAACTGACAAATAGCCTTCTTTTTGTGTGTCAATGTCATACCACAATCAAGAAAAAAAATGGAAACATAACTTTCTTGCTTCTCCTGTTAACATTTTAAATAAACACTTTCACAAAATCAACAAAGACTATTTGGGTATCATCATAAAGTTTATGGTTTTGTTCAATATCTTCATCAATACCCTCAAGATGGGATGGAGTACACCCTCAACAAGACTGCAGATAACACCAAGCTGTGGGGAGTAGTAGATAAGCTGGAGGGTAGGGCTAGAATTCAGAGAGACCTAGGCAAATTGGAGGATTGGACCAAAAGGAATCTCATGAGGTTCAATAAGGACAAGTGCAAAGTCCTGTACTTAAGATGGAACAATCCCATGCACCAGTACACTGCCTGGCTAAGCAGCAGCTCTGTAGAAAAGGATCTGGGGGTTACAGTGGACAATAAGCTGAATATGAGCCAACTGTGTGCTCTTGTTGTACAGGCTAATGGCATACTGGGCTGCATTAGGAGGAGCACAGCCAGCAGATCAAAGGAAGTGATTGTAGGAGCCCAGGCTGACAGCAGGGGCGGGTTACAAGCTAGTGCTGAGCACGGGGAAAAGCGGCCCCTCACTTGCCCTGTGCCCAGTGTCCCGCACTGTAGCTGCTTGCAGCCCACATGGGGCTGCCTGTGCCAGCTCAGGACAGCCCCGCGTGGGCTGTGAGTGACTGCAGCAGGGAGCTCTGGCCATGGGGTGGGCAAGGGGCCACTTTTCCCCGTGCTCAACACCAGCTTCTTCCCTGACAGTGAGCAGGGGGTCAGGGCTGTGCCCTGCCTCCCCTCCCCTCCCCTCCCCTGCCTGTACTGCGGGACTGGGGGGCACTGGGAGCCAGCAAGAGCATGGGGCCTGCACCGGTGTCCCAGGGCCAGGGCCAGTGCCAGCAGGGCCCAGAGCAGGGTGGCAGTAGCATGGGCAGCCGGCATGCCAGAATGCATTCTCTAATAAACCAAGCTTCTGCTGACCTGACCTAAAGTTTGCTGCGTGTGTTTACCACAACACACCTTTCAAGGGGCAGGGCTACCCATGCAGCCCTCAACAGCCTGCCAAAACTGGGTAACCAGCCCTCTACCCGAAATAATTGCCCATCCCTGTACTAGGAAGAACTCTCTCACTAGGAGGGTAGTAAAGTATCAGAACAGGTTACTCAGAGAAGTGGTGGAATTTCCTTCCTTGGAGGTTTTTTTAAGACCCAGATAGATGAAGCCTTGGCTGGGATGATCTAATTGGGGATGGTCCTGCTTCAAGCAGGGGGTTGGAATAGATGACCTCCTGAGGTCCCTTCAAACCCTAATTTTCTAAGGTTCTATGATTAATTCCTGCAGATAAAAATAATGGGCACCAACACTTACATAATTTTTATTTCTCTCTACACGCATCATCTCTTCCTCTCACCATTCTTCCTTTAGTCATTTGAAATGTAGCTATAGATTGCTAGATACTAGATGCATTCAACAACAGAGGCAGCTTCGTTCTTTGTTGGACAGAGGGCCCTGTATGATCCATTATCTATTACAAAGGAATTTGCCAAGTGTTTTGGATCCATTAGATAAAAGGTTGCAAATGTAAGATAAAGTAAATATTATTTGTGCATTTCATTTCTTAGTTGGAGTATCAGAATTAAGTGGAGCAAATAATAAACTACAAATCTCACATAAAACTTTCTAGATAGTTAAATCCAAACTTTACTAAGAATCTATATACATTTTGTTACAAAATAAGGAAAAACAAACATACAAGCAGTATGAAAAATAAAATAGTGTGCATTTTATACGACACAGGATATTAGTAAGTTTAATATGCCACAACCTGACTCGTGCCACAACCTGGCAGCCAACTGTCACATTGAATGTAATATTTGAATGTTTGTAATAGTTGCCCATTAGCCAGTTCAGGAAGAAGACAAGATTCATCTTCTTATCTAGGACATTGTTTTGGCCTACATGCGGAAGGTCCTGACTTTGCTCAAAGTCTTAACTCTTGAATTTTATCTTTAGAGGCCTTTAACAAAGTTAACCTAAAAATGACCCTTAAGCAAAAATCCCGAGAAATCAAACCCTAGGAGCCTTTGAAAAAATTGAAAAGAAAGGTCACTTGCAGTGCTATGGAAGTTCCCCAAAGTAATTAAAATGGTCAAGAAAATAAACTGATTACCAAGCAAAAGAATCTGTTGAGTAAGATCCGAGCCCAAATTTGGGAGTAGTGACAAGTTTGGGTAGGAGGGGCCCCAAGATGGCAATTCACTCAATAAAAACTGTAACCTACTGTCCCAATTTGGAGGTAACCTCACTTGCAGAACAACAAAGGAAGAATCACAAGTGTAGGCCGGATCAGACTGATCACCTGAATCACCCTCTCCATGAACACGAATCTCTTAAGTCACACTGAAGCTGCAGAGCACCTGAAAGGGACTGAAAGAAGGGGACTTGTTCCTATCACTGCTGAGACCAACCCTAAAACCATAACTAAAGAATGAAGGTATACCTCGGGATTTGGTTTCTCGGAATTCTAGGATTGTAAGTATATTATGAAAAATAATAGCTGTTTTTGTAATACTAATTCTTATAGCACTGTTTGGGAAGGAAGTGCATTTGGAGCATTGTTTCTGATATATGTAGTTATTGCGTTCTTAATATTTGTGGTATTTCTTAAAGCCAAGCAGTGTTATATGCGTAGCAAAGAATTTAAAAATAAAATTGTGTTGTATGAATTAAGAGTGTAATCATTGTGAAATCGTGCAAGTAGCTAAAAATTTCTCCAGCCAGTGCATCAAACGAATCAGTAAGTTGTGTGGGATTTTCTCTATTCCATAACCCACTAGACACACCAACCCTCCATGTCCCAGTACCAAGCCGCGGCCTGTTGGTTGGGAACCTCTGCTCTAGATTCTCAGTGCACAGGAACTATTATTAAGTAGCTCATTCCTCTTTGAAAGTGAATAGCAACAATAAAAATTGTATACAAAGTGCTAGAGGTCAGAAAGTCATGCAGTTTCCTTGTCTAAAAGGATCTTTCTTCTAAATGAAATTCTCCTCTATGTCTGCTTAGGAAAAAAATTCTAACTTCAAAAGGTCCCTCCCCTAAAAGTGCTTTTTCCTATTTTCATGGCTTTCTTCCAAAAATGTTACTATATATTTTCAAATCTCAAAAAGGTTATATTCATTAACATCTGAAATATAGACCATAGGCTGCATCAATAAATCTTTCAAGAATGCAGCAGTA